CATTCTTTGAATATAGTGCAAAAACTGGATAATAGTACAATTTGCCTTTTTATGCATTGCACAGTAATTGAAAAAGTTCTTTTTTTTTTTTGAAATGGAGTCTCGCTCTGTCGCCCAGGCTGGGATCTCAGCTCACTGCAAGCTCCGCCTCCCGGGTTTACGCCATTCTCCTGCCTCAGCCTCCCAAGTAGCTGGGACTACAGGTGCCCACCACCTCGCCCGGCAAGATTTTTGTATTTTTTAGTAGAGACGGGGTTTCACCGTGTTAGCCAGGATGGTCTTGATCTCCTTGATCTCCTGACCTCGTGATCTGCCCGTCTCGGCCTCCCAAAGTGCTGGGATTACAGGCTTGAGCCACCGCGCCTGGCCGAAAAAGTTCTTATGAAAAAGCACAATGAATGAAAATAAAAGCAAGGCTCAGTAATTTGCAGAGAGGTTATGTTTCATTAATATGTGCCTCATATAAGCAGTCAGCATGTAAAAATGATGGCAAAATCTGACCAGGAGTTTAAAATTACAAATTATACATAGAATGTGCACCAAATTAGATAGATAATTAATTGAGAAGCATAAATTTAAAAAATCTAATTGATGTTGCACATGTGATAATCAGAGTCATTCTTCTACAATTGTTAAATATAATTTGTCTCATAATGCTACCCTTTGGTAAATTGTTATAACAGTGTATGATGTATGTAGCTTATTAACAGTTTCATTAGTTGCTATTAGAGGAAAGAAGCTATGAAAGCTAGTACACATAGGAACAAATGTTGAGGCAGATGGTTGAAATTAGTGAAACATGATCAGTTGCTGAACCAGTTTACTTAATTAGCTTTCTGCATCAGAATAGTTAAAATAAATTTGTCATATTGTCTTCAGGAAATTGAAATTCAGGAGATGATCATCACATATATTTTTTAAAATTAACACGACAAAGAGCAAAGAACTGTGGGCTCTGACCCATGACCATTAGTTTATTCTGTACTGAGAGTCTGCTGAGCTGTTTAGAATGGAAGGGGAATTTTACCGTTAGGGAATAGCCAACTGTGCTGACATCTTTCTACTGTTTGTAGCAGGGAAAACAGAGGGAGAAGAGCAAGTGGAAATTGGCCACTGCCCACAAAATTAACTTGATGCTGTTACTTCTTAGTTAATAATTTTCAGAGGAGTTGAAATGGATCTTTGAAATAACGGTTTCATACAACAGTTTCCTTTTCAGCAAGGTTCCAGAAAATTTTAAGAAATCAAAATTGTAATAGTTTGCATGCTAAGGCATTTTTGGCCATATTGCTGTGTATAGCGGGGGTGGGAACTCAATTTTTAAGGTACTTGTCTTGGTTAATTCCTATAGATTTCAGTTTGGCATCCACAGCAATAGCATGAACAACAAATAGTCAAAAATGGGGGAGATTTTAATAGAAATATGGTTTATATGTTGGAGAAACTCTGATGACATTTGGAATTGTTTAATGGAATGCTCTAAATTGTTAATGGAATGCTCAACTATTACATGATTTATACCTGCCGAGGTTTTTATAGGCTTGGAACAATTTGCTATCCTTTCTCACAGGAATGTTTTTATATATTTGCCTTTTAGAACACATTCTTCAACTTTGTAGCAGAAGTACAGAACTTAGCTATCAGTATGGAAAGTTTCCAATGATACTGTCTTCATCTATTTTTTCAAACATATTACAAGTGAGGTTTAGATGATCATGTTTAACTACATGAATCTAAATAACTATAAACATGCATGATCCGTTATTGACACAGCTACCCTTTCCCCTTTGAGGTGTATAAGGGGGTTCTTTCTGCTAGTGTTAGTATATAAATTATTTCATCCAGAAACTATGGAGCTGTGGCCACTAGTGGTTTGGCCTGTGTCACCTTTTCTGTCTTTACCACCAATCTTGGCCTTGATTAAAAAGGTGGGAGTAAGATCATTTTGTTGATAATACATTTATAGGCACTGTGTCAAGAGGGTTTGAACGTTTCAAGGTCCCACAGATGTATTTGTGTTCTAAACTTACAAAAAGTTATTTGTTAATATGAAATTAAAAAATGAAAAATTGAAATTAAGAAACATTTAGATCTCCATAACATAATTTTCAAAAATAGTAAATTGTTATTTTAGTAAACTCTTATATAGTAATACATAAGTAATATTTATTGTGCGAAGAGGGTCTGTTTTTATGTTTACTATGAGGGAAACATTAATATAAAAATGACTTGATTCAAAATTTTTTTACCCTGAATGTTAAGACTATTTGGGAAAGCTGCTTCTACTTTGGATATAAAAAGCTCCTACTCTAACAATAAAAATAATTAATCTACTAAAGTATGTCTTGTTTGTACTCATCAGATAGTTGAGGTTTCAAAGCAACTAAGATCACTGAATTTCAGAGGATGTCAAGACCCTCCAGGAGAGGTGGACCACATTAAATTTGCCTTTGGCAGAACAAAGCAGAAAGAGATGGCAGCTATAAAATCAGATAAAAAGAAAACAACTGTGTGATGGTTAATTTTATGTGCCAAATTAACAAGGCCAATGAGTGCCCCGATATTTGGTTAAACATTATTCTGAGTCTGTCTGTGAGAGTGTTTCTGGATGATATTAATGTTTGAATCAGTAGACTGAGTGAAACATATTGCTCTTCTCAATGAAGGTGGGTCTCATGCAATCTGTGAAGACCTGGCCAGTGTGGTGGCTCACACCTCTAATCACAGCACTTTGGGAGGCAGAGGCAGGTGGATTACTTGATGTCAGGCATTTGAGATCAGCTTGGCCAACAGGGTGAAACCTTGTCTCTACTAAAACAACAACAACAACAACAGCAACAAACCACAAAAAATAATCTGTGAAGGCCTAAATAGAGTAAAGTGCTAATAAGGAATTATTTCTCTCTGTCTAAATGCCTCCAAACTGGAACAGCAGACTTTTCTTGCCTTCAGATGCAGACTGAAACTGGAACTGATATGATTGGCTCTCCTGCATCTCAGGCTTTCAGACTCAGACTGGATCTATACCATTGGTTCCCCTCGGTGTGGACTTCTCAGTGCTCATAATCACATAAGCCAATTCCTTATAATAAATCATTTTATATACATCCTCTTGGTCTTCTTTTTTTGGAGAATCCTGACTAATGCAAATTGAACATTTAAAAAATACTTAACGGCCCAATAGGCCAGCATGATAGTTGAGAACCCATGGAAACCCCATACAAAGGAGAATCTGCAAGCACTCACCAATGCTCATTCATGGGCCCTAACCAGGTACTCTTGAGTAGGACTGGAAGCATGACAAATTCTTTGGTGATGCAGGAATGTAGATATGACTGGTTGCTGTTGAGGGAAAGGTGCAATGTCTAGCCCTGTTCTGAATCCTTTCCTCACATGAAAATAAAGGTGTTGCCACTAAGAGAGAAGCAGGCAACATCCATACACCCCTGATACCAGTTTGGCTGCCATTGGAGTAGCAGGAGATGAGAAATGCTGTATTTCACTAAGAATAGAATAGAAAAGTTAAGTACATGATCTTGCACTGATGAAAAAGCAAGGTAGATCTTGGCTATCATGATGAGAGAGGAAGGAAGGATGAGAAGGCTAAAATAAGAAACTAGAAATCCCCTGGCACCTGCAAAAGCCTTGTACATAGAAACAAGCTAATGCAGGCAGTATATTCTCTGGGAAAGGGGAAAGATACTGAACGGGGACCCACTCTGTGGCATGGGGATGCAAGGTCTGCTAAAAGGTGAGGATGGGGCAAAATACTGTTAAAACCCTCCAGCATCCTAGGTGCCTCAACCTAAGCACAAGGTAGTAGTAGTCTATGACTGGAGGAATTTGAAGTCTATGGTTAATCAAAGGTAATTAGAACAACAACCCCAATCAACTGAGTTCAGCTACTATTTAGACTGATCTAACCTCCATATTAACGAACTGCTATAAGAAGTGTGCCCGTTTCCTGTTGTAAATTTACCTCACTCTCAATTTTTCTTTAGCCACGATGTCTACATTCAATGTGTTATTATACGATACACACAAACAATAACAATGACTATGACAAATTACCCATTATCAAGAGATAAAGGAGTCAACAGAATTAAACCAAGATGTGATGAGATCATGGTACTTTAGATGAAGTATTTCAAAACAACTATATTAAATATGTTAAAGAGTGTTAATATGTTAAAAAGGTTAACACATGTATGAACAAATGAGAAATTTCAGGAGGTATATAGAAATTTAAAAAGAAATTAAGTGAGAATGCTAGAAATTTTTTAAAAACATGCTAAACAGAGAAGAAGAATTTATTTGATAAATTTTCTGCTGAATGACTTATCAACAGTCTGGATATAGCAGTGAAAGGAATTGTTGAACTTTAAGTTAGACCAATGCAAATTATCCATACTAAAAAAGAAAAAGAAATGAAGAAACAATAATAGCAAGAGAATAGAATATTCAGTAGCCATAGAATAATATCAAATAATCTAACATACATATAATTGAGGTTTTATATATATATATAATTGAGAAGAAAGATACTATGGCACAGAATATATTCAAAAAGATAATAGCAAATAATATTCCAAAACAAATGAAAGAGAGCAAACAGCAGATTTGAAAAGCCAGGGTTTAAAGCAGAAGAAATAATAAAAAAAATACTTGGGCACATCAAAGCTAAACTTCTGAAAACCAAATATGAAGATAAAATCTTAAAAGCATCCAAAGGAAAAAATAAAACACGATTACATATAGAAAACCAAAGATAAGAATGTCAGCAATCTTCTTGTAAGAGACTAAATAAGGCAGAAAGCAATAAATCAATATCTTTAAAGTACAAGAAAAAAAACTGTTAACTCGCTCGAAATTTTATACCCTACAAAACTATCTAAACTATCTAAAAATAAAATAGAATACTTTTTAAGTAAACAAAAGATGGAAAATTAATTGGCAGTGAAGTTTTGTACTATAAGAAATGATAAAGTTTTACAGGTAGAAGGATTGTGATACATGATAAATATCTGGATCTATACAAAATATTGATAAAATGTTCTAAATAGTAAAGATGTGAGAATATAAAAATTCATTTAAAAATACTTCTGAAAGATAATTGAGTGAAGAAAAATAGTGACAGTACAGTGGGGAGACTGTAACATAATTAGGTGTAAAACATAACAAAATAATAGCACAAAGAATTAGTGGAAGGAAGTGATGTGTGGCTGTTAAAACATATTAAAATGATATATTCCTAAAATTTAGACTGTAAGAACTTAAACATGTATATGGTAAATCCTAGAAAAAATAGTAAAAACAATTCAGAAAGCTCTGTCTTATAGGCCAATTGTGATGATAGAATTGAATAATTAAAATGCTCACTTAACACAAAAGGACAGTAGAAAAAGGAAGAGAAAAAGAATATATAGATACTAATGCGATGGAGCCTGGTGGACGGAAGTGGCTGTTGGAGGCTTTAAGTTTGCCACAGTTTACAAGGCCAGAGATAAGAATACCAACCAAATTGTCGCCATTAAAAAAATCAGACTTGGACATAGATCAGAAGCTAAAGATGGTATAAGCAGAACAGCCTTAAGAGACATATAATTATTACAGGAGCTAAGTCATCCAAATATAATTGGTCTCCTTGATGCTTTTGGACATAAATCTAATGTTAGCCTTGTCTTTGTTTTTTTTTTTTAATTTATTTATTATTATTATACTTTAAGTTGTAGGGTACATGTGCATAACGTGCAGGTTTGTTACATATGTATACTTGTGCCATGTTGGTGTGCTGCACCCATCAACTCGTCATTTACATCAGGTATAACTCCCAGTGCAATCCCTCCCCCCTCCCCCCTCCCCATGATAGGCCCCGGTGTGTGATGTTCCCCTTCCCGAGTCCAAGTGATCTCATTGTTCAGTTCCCACCTATGAGTGAGAACATGCGGTGTTTGGTTTTCTGTTCCTGCGATAGTTTGCTGAGAATGATGGTTTCCAGCTGCATCCATGTCCCTACAAAGGACACAAACTCATCCTTTTTTATGGCTGCATAGTATTCCATGGTGTATATGTGCCACATTTTCTTAATCCAATCTGTCACTGATGGACATTTGGGTTGATTCCAAGTCTTTGCTATTGTGAATAGTGCTGCAATAAACATACGTGTGCATGTGTCTTTATAGCAGCATAATTTATAATCCTTTGGGTATATACCCAGTAATGGGATGGCTGGGTCATATGGTACATCTAGTTCTAGATCCTTGAGGAATCGCCATACTGTTTTCCATAATGGTTGAACTAGTTTACAATCCCACCAACAGTGTAAAAGTGTTCCTATTTCTCCACATCCTCTCCAGCACCTGTTGTTTCCTGACTTTTTAATGATTGCCATTCTAACTGGTGTGAGATGGTATCTCATTGTGGTTTTGATTTGCATTTCTCTGATGGCCAGTGATGATGAGCATTTTTTCATGTGTCTGTTGGCTGTATGAATGTCTTCTTTTGAGAAATGTCTGTTCATATCCTTTGCCCACTTTTTGATGGGGTTGTTTGTTTTTTTCTTGTAAATTTGTTTGAGTTCTTTGTAGGTTCTGGATATTAGCCCTTTGTCAGATGAGTAGATTGCAAAAATTTTCTCCCATTCTGTAGGTTGCCTGTTCACTCTGATGGTAGTTTCTTTTGCTGTGCAGAAGCTCTTTAGTTTAATAAGATCCCATTTGTCAATTTTGGCTTTTGCTGCTGTTGCTTTTGGTGTTTTAGACATGAAGTCTTTGCCCATGCCCATGTCCTGAATGGTACTACCTAGGTTTTCCTCTAGGATTTTTATGGTATTAGGTCTAACATTTAAGTCTCTAATCCATCTTGAATTAATTTTCGTATAAGGAGTAAGGAAAGGATCCAGTTTCAGCTTTCTACTTATGGCTAGCCAATTTTCCCAGCACCATTTATTAAATAGGGAATCCTTTCCCCATTTCTTGTTTCTCTCAGGTTTGTCAAAGATCAGATGGCTGTAGATGTGTGGTATTATTTCTGAGGACTCTGTTCTGTTCCATTGGTCTAGATCTCTGTTTTGGTACCAGTACCATGCTGTTTTGGTTACTGTAGCCTTGTAGTATAGTTTGAAGTCAGGTAGCGTGATGCCTCCAGCTTTGTTCTTTTGACTTAGGATTGTCTTGGAGATGCGGGCTCTTTTTTGGTTCCATATGAACTTTAAAGCAGTTTTTTCCAATTCTGTGAAGAAGCTCATTGGTAGCTTGATGGGGATGGCATTGAATCTATAAATTACCTTGGGCAGTATGGCCATTTTCACGATATTGATTCTTCCTATCCATGAGCATGGTATGTTCTTCCATTTGTTTGTGTCCTCTTTTATTTCACTGAGCAGTGGTTTGTAGTTCTCCTTGAAGAGGTCCTTTACATCCCTTGTAAGTTGGATTCCTAGGTATTTTATTCTCTTTGAAGCAATTGTGAATGGAAGTTCATTCCTGATTTGGCTCTCTGTTTGTCTGTTACTGGTGTATAAGAATGCTTGTGATTTTTGCACATTAATTTTGTATCCTGAGACTTTGCTGAAGTTGCTTATCAGTTTAAGGAGATTTTGGGCTGAGACAATGGGGTTTTGTAAATATACAATCATGTCATCTGCAAACAGGGACAATTTGACTTCTTCTTTTCCTAACTGAATCCCCTTGATTTCTTTCTCTTGCCTGATTGCCCTAGCCAGAACTTCCAACACTATGTTGAATAGGAGTGGTGAGAGAGGGCATCCCTGTCTTGTGCCAGTTTTCAAAGGGAATTTTTCCAGTTTTTGCCCATTCAGTATGATATTGGCTGTGGGTTTGTCATAAATAGCTCTTATTATTTTGAGGTACGTTCCATCAATACCGAATTTATTGAGCGTTTTTAGCATGAAGGGCTGTTGAATTTTGTCAAAAGCCTTTTCTGCATCTATTGAGATAATGATGTGGTTCTTGTCTTTGGTTCTGTTTATATGCTGGATTATGTTTATTGATTTGCGAATGTTGAACCAGCCTTGCATCCCAGGGATGAAGCCCACTTGATCATGGTGGATAAGCTTTTTGATGTGCTGCTGAATCCGGTTTGCCAGTATTTTATTGAGGATTTTTGCATCGATGTTCATCAGGGATATTGGTCTAAAATTCTCTTTTTTTGTTGTGTCTCTGCCAGGCTTTGGTATCAGGATGATGTTGGCCTCATAAAATGAGTTAGGGAGGATTCCCTCTTTTTCTATTGATTGGAATAGTTTCAGAAGGAATGGTACCAGCTCCTCCTTGTACCTCTGGTAGAATTCAGCTGTGAATCCATCTGGTCCTGGACTTTTTTTGGTTGGTAGGCTATTAATTATTGCCTCAATTTCAGAGCCTGCTATTGGTCTATTCAGGGATTCAACTTCTTCCTGGTTTAGTCTTGGAAGAGTGTAAGTGTCCAGGAAATTATCCATTTCTTCTAGATTTTCCAGTTTGTTTGCGTAGAGGTGTTTATAGTATTCTCTGATGGTAGTTTGTATTTCTGTGGGGTCAGTGGTGATATCCCCTTTATCATTTTTCATTGCGTCGATTTGATTCTTCTCTCTTTTCTTCTTTATTAGTCTTGCTAGTGGTCTGTCAATTTTGTTGATCTTTTCAAAAAACCAACTCCTGGATTCATTGATTTTTTGGAGGGTTTTTTGTGTCTCTATCTCCTTCAGTTCTGCTCTGATCTTAGTTATTTCTTGCCTTCTGCCAGCTTTCGAATGTGTTTGCTCTTGCTTCTCTAGTTCTTTTAATTGTGATGTTAGAGTGTCAATTTTAGATCTTTCCTGCTTTCTCTTGTGGGCATTTAGTGCTATAAATTTCCCTCTACACACTGCTTTAAATGTGTCCCAGAGATTCTGGTATGTTGTATCTTTGTTCTCATTGGTTTCAAAGAACATCTTTATTTCTGCCTTCATTTCGTTATGTACCCAGTAGTCATTCAGGAGCAGGTTGTTCAGTTTCCATGTAGTTGAGCGGTTTTGATTGAGTTTCTTAGTCCTGAGTTCTAGTTTGATTGCACTGCGGTCTGAAAGACAGTTTGTTATAATTTCTGTTCTTGTACATTTGCTGAGGAGTGCTTTACTTCCAATTACGTGGTCAATTTTGGAGTAAGTACGATGTGGTGCTGAGAAGAATGTATATTCTGTTGATTTGGGGTGGAGAGTTCTATAGATGTCTATTAGGTCTGCTTGCTGCAGAGATGAGTTCAATTCTTGGATATCCTTGTTAACTTTCTGTCTCGTTGATCTGTCTAATGTTGACAGTGGAGTGTTGAAGTCTCCCATTATTATTGTATGGGAGTCTAAGTCTCTTTGTAAGTCTCTAAGGACTTGCTTTATGAATCTGGGTGCTCCTGTATTGGGTGCATATATATTTAGGATAGTTAGCTCTTCCTGTTGAATTGATCCCTTTACCATTATGTAATGGCCTTCTTTGTCTCTTTTGATCTTTGATGGTTTAAAATCTGTTTTATCAGAGACTAGTATTGCAACCCCCGCTTTTTTGTGTTCTCCATTTGCTTGGTAAATCTTCCTCCATCCCTTTATTTTGAGCCTATATATGTCTCTGCGTGTGAGATGGGTCTCCTGAATACAGCAGACTGATGGGTCTTGACTCTTTATCCAGTTTGCCAGTCTGTGTCTTTTAATTGGAGCATTTAGTCCATTTACATTTAAGGTTAAGATTGTTATGTGTGAACTTGATCCTGCCATTATGATATTAACTGGTTATTTTGCTCGTTAGTTGATGCAGTTTCTTCCATGCCTTGATGGTCTTTACATTTTGGCATGTTTTTGCAATGGCTGGTACCGGTTGTTCCTTTCCATGTTTAGTGCTTCCTTCAGGGTCTCTTGTAAGGCAGGCCTAGTGGTGACAAAATCTCTAAGCATTTGCTTATCTGTAAAGGATTTTATTTCTCCTTCACTTATGAAACTTAGTTTGGCTGGATATAAAATTCTGGGTTTAAAATTCTTTTCTTTAAGAATGTTGAATATTGGCCCCCACTCTCTTCTGGCTTGAAGAGTTTCTGCCGAGAGATCTGCTGTTAGTCTGATGGGCTTCCCTTTGTGGGTAACCCGACCTTTCTCTCTGGCTGCCCTTAAGATTTTTTCCTTCATTTCAACTTTGGTGAATCTGGCAATTATGTGTCTTGGAGTTGCTCTTCTCGAGGAGTATCTTTGTGGCGTTCTCTGTATTTCCTGGATTTGAATGTTGGCCTGCCCTACTAGGTTGGGGAAGTTCTCCTGGATGATATCCTGAAGAGTGTTTTCCAACTTGTTTCCATTTTCCCCTCACTTTCAGGCACCCCAATCAGACGTAGATTTGGTCTTTTTACATAATCCCATAGTTCTTGCAGGCTTTGTTCATTTCTTTTTCTTCTTTTTTCTTTTGGTTTCTCTTCTCGCTTCATTTCATTCATTTGATCCTCCATCGCTGACATTCTTTCTTCCAGTTGATCGAGTCGGTTACTGAAGCTTGTGCATTTGTCACGTATTTCTCGTGTCATGGTTTTCGTCTCTTTCATTTCGTTTATGACCTTCTCTGCATTAATTACTCTAGCCATCAATTCTTCCACTTTTTTTTCAAGATTTTTAGTTTCTTTGTGCTGGGTACGTAATTCCTCCTTTAGCTCTGAGAAATTTGATGGACTGAAGCCTTCTTCTCTCATCTTGTCGAAGTCATTCTCCGTCCAGCTTTGATCCGTTGCTGGCGATGAGCTGCGCTCCTTTGCCGGGGGAGATGCGCTCTTATTTTTTGAATTTCCAGCTTTTCTGCCCTGCTTTTTCCCCATCTTTGTGGTTTTATCTGCCTCTGGTCTTTGATGATGGTGATGTACTGATGGGGTTTTGGTGTAGGTGTCCTTCCTGTTTGATAGTTTTCCTTCTAACAGTCAGGACCCTCAGCTGTAGGTCTGTTGGAGATTGCTTGAGGTCCACTCCAGACCCTGTTTGCCTGGGGATCAGCAGCAGAGGCTGCAGAAGATAGAATATTTCTGAACAGCGAGTGTACCTGTCTGATTCTTGCTTTGGAAGCTTCCTCTCAGGGGTGTACTCCACCCTGTGAGGTGTGGGGTGTCAGACTGCCCCTAGTGGGGGATTTCTCCCAGTTAGGCTACTCAGGGGTCAGGGACCGACTTGAGCAGGGAGTCTGTCCCTTCTCAGATCTCAACCTCCGTGTTGGGAGATCCACTGCTCTCTTCAAAGCTGTCAGACAGAGTCGTTTGCGTCTGCAGAGCTTTCTGCTGCGTTTGTTATTGTTTACTGTGCCCTGTCCCCAGAGGTGGAGTCTACAGAGGCAGGCAGGTTTCCTTGAGCTGCTGTGAGCTCCACCCAGTTGGAGCTTCCCAGCAGCTTTGTTTACCTACTTAAGCCTCAGCAATGGCTGGCGCCCCTCCCCCAGCCTCGCTGCTGCCTTGCCGGTAGATCACAGACTGCTGTGCTAGCAATGAGGGAGGCTCCGTGGGTGTGGGACCTTCCCGGCCAGGTGTGGGATATGATCTCCTGGTGTGCCTGTTTGTAAAGCGCAGTGGTGGGGTGGGAGTTACCCGATTTTCCCGGAGTGTTGTGTGTCTCAGTTCCCCTGGCTAGGAAGGGATTCCCTTCCCCTTGTGTCTCAGTTCCCCTGGCTAGGAAAAGGGATTCCCTTCCCCCTTGCACTTCCCAGGTGAGGCAATGCCTCGCCCTGCTTCAGCTCTTGCTGGTCGGGCTGCAGCAGCTGACCAGCACCGATCGTCTGGCACTCCCCAGTGAGATGAACCCAGTACCTCAGTTGAAAATGCAGAAATCACCGGTCTTCTGTGTTGCTCGCGCTGGGAGTTGGAGACTGGAGCTGTTCCTATTCGGCCATCTTGCCGTCTTTGGTTTTATGGAAACTGATCTAGAGGTTATAATAAAGGATAATAGTCTTGTGCTGACACCATCACACATCAAAGCCTGCATGTTGGTGACTCTTCAAGGATTAGAATATTTACATCAACATTGGATCCTACATAGGGATCTAAAACCAAACAACTTGTTGCTAGATGAAAATGGAGTTCTAAAACTGGCACATTTTGGCCTGGCCAAATCATATGGGAGCCCCAGTAGAGCTTATACACATCAGGTTGTAACCAGGTGGTATCGGGCCCCTGAGTTACTATTTGGAGCTAGGATGTATGGTGTGAGTGTGGACATGTGGGCTGTTGACTGTATATTAGCAGAGTTACTTCTAAGGGTTCCTTTTTGTGTCAGGAGATTCAGACCTTGATCAGCTAACAAGAATATTTGGGTACACCGACTGAGGAACAGTGGCTGGACATGTGTAGTCTTCCAGATTATGTGACATTTAAGAGTTTCCCTGGAATCCCGTTGCATCACATCTTCAGTGCAGCAGGAGACGACTTCTAGATCTCATAGAAGGCTTATTCTTATTTGATCCATGTGCTTGAATTACGGCCACGCAGGCACTGAAAATGAAGTATTTCAGTAATCGGCCAGGGCCAATACCTGGATGTCAGCTGCCAAGTCCCAACTGTCCAGTGGAAACCTTAAAGGAGCAATCAAATCCGGCTTTGGCAACAGAAAGGAAAAGAACGGAGGCCTTGGAACAGGGAGGATTGCCCAAGAAACTAATTTTTTAAAGAGAACACTAGACAACATTTTACTACTGAAGGAAATAGTCAAAAAGGCAAATAATGGAAAAATAGTAAACATTGAGTAAATGCTGTAGAAGTGAATTTGTAAATATTCTACACATGTAAAATATATAAAACTATGGGTTATTTTTATTAAATGTATTTTAAAATAAGAAGAATATATAGCACACATTTATAAAAAGAAATTGGTAAATTTAAAGCCAATCATATTGGTAACTATATTAAATGTAAATTGTGTAAATTTGTCAGTTAAGAGCTAGGTATTGCCAAATTGAATTAACAAGAGCAAGACAAGTATATTCTATCTACAAGAATCTCACTTTAAATATATGGCTATAGACACATTCAAAATTAAAGGATGGAGAAAGGTATACCATGTAAACACTTGTCAAAAGAAGCTGAAGTAGATATATTAGCATTACATAAAGTAGACTTGAGAACAGGAAAGATTACAAGAGACATAAAGGGATATTACATAGTAATAAAGGGATAATTTAATGTAGGAAAAATAGCAATTCTATATGTATATTCTTCTAATGTTAGAGTTTCAAAATATATAAATAACTGATAGAACTGAAAGGATAAAGGGACAAATCCACAATTATAGTTGGAAAACAAATTCCTGTTTTTATAAATAATACATGTGGACAAAAAATCAGTTAGAAGACTTAGAATGTACTGTCAACCATTTTTACTTCATTTACTTCATTGGTAAAATATTAGAATATTTTCCATAGACTGTTTTCCAACAGACAATAGGAAAAATTCTTTAAAGTTTACACGGAACTACCTAGTGTAGTTAACATTAAGATAGAGTATTTTCTGTGCCATTAATAATGCTTCAAATGTTAAAAATTGAAATCGCCAAGTGCAGTGGCTCATGCCTGTAATCCCAGCACTTTGGGAGGCTGAGGCAGGCAGATCATGAGGTCAGGCATTCAAAACCAGCCTGGCCAACATGATGAAACCCCTTCTCTACTAAAAATACAAAAGTTACTCAGGTGTGGTGGTGAGCACCTGTAGTCTCAGCTACTTGGGAGGCTGAGGCAGGAGAATCGCTTGAACCTGGGAGGCGGAAGTTACTGTGAGCCCAGATCTGGCCACTGCACTCCAGCCTGGGCAACAGAGTGAGACTCTGTCTCAACAACAGCAACACAAAATTAAAATCATACAAAATACATATTCAGACCAAAATAAAATCAAACTAGAATTTGATATCAGAAAGATACCTGGAAAATCCCTAAATATTTGGAAATTAAACAAAATATTAAACATTGCATAGGTCAAAAAAATCACAGAAAAATTAAAAAATATTTTGAATGGAATGAAAATAAAGCATATTAAATTTGGGGTAACATAACCAAAGAGCTGCTTAATTGCAAATGTGTAGGATCAAATGCTTATATTAGAAAATATTTTAAAAGGGCTAAAACTAATAATCTAACCTCCATTTAAGACTTTGCAAAAACAAGGGTAAATTAAAACCAAACAAACAGAAGGAAGAAAACCAATAGGAAAAAATAATAAAACTATAAGCTGCTTGTCTGAAAAGATTATTAAAATTGGTAAGCTTTTAGACAGACTAAGTAAAAAAGAGAAAAGATAGAAATGGCCAATATCAGATATAAAAGAGGTTACATTACTACAGAACCTATGGACATTAAAAAGGTAAAGAGGAAATATAAACAAGTTTATGGTCATAAATTCAATGTTAGATAAAAGAGAAAAAAGTTCTTAAAAGTTAGAAGCTTCCAAATATCACTCAAGAAGAAATAGATAACCTTAATACTTCTATGTCTATAAAAGACATAGAACTTAAAAAACCTTTCAACAAAGTTCTGGGCCCACACGACTTGACAGGTAAATTCTACTAAACATTTAAGGAAGAAATAACACAAAATTTACGCAAACTCTTCCAGAAAAACAAGAGCAAATAAACTTCCCAATTCATTTTATCAAGTTAATACTATCTGATATCCTGATACAAAAATTATAGAAAGACATTATAGGATAAGAAGACCACAGAACAATATCTCTCATAAATATAGAAAAAAATGCTTAATAAAGTATTAGTCAAATCTTGTGATATAAAAAAAAGTAGTACATAATTATCAATCTAGGTGTATCCCAAGAATGCAAGGTTGGTTGAACTTTTAAATAGCAGATGGCATAATTTACTATATTAAAAAACTAAAAGTAATAACATTATGCTGGTGGAAATAGAGATAGTATTATATTAATGGATGTAGAAAAGGATACAAAATCTATAAAAATTAGCTATATTTCTATATAATAGCAACTAACAATTGAAAATTGAAATAAAAAAATGCCATTCAAAATAACATAAAAACCCATCACACAATTAAGAGTAAAATTATAGATATATTCATATACATATATGTGTGTGTGTATATATACACACATATGTATGTACATATAGAAAGAGATAAATGCAAGGCTATTATATTAAAAATCGCAAAACATTATGCAGCAAAATAAAGACATAAATCACTGGAGAGAAACATTGTTTTTATGGATCAGAAGATTCAATATTTATATAATCCCAATTATCTCCTAATCCATCAAACTTCAATTGGGCATTTTCTTGGTGGAAATTGACAAGATGATTCCAAAATTAATATGAAAATTAAAGGACCTAGATTACCCCAAATAATTTTAAATATACAAAAATTTAGAGGTCGCACACTATCTGATTTCAAAACTTGCTGTAAAGTTAACCTAAACGAAACAGGGTAGTATTTATTTAAGGATAAATGTATTGAGCAATGGAATAGAATTGAAGCCAGAAGTAGATCCACACATATATGGTTAACTGATTCTTTATAAAGGTGCCAAAGTAATTTATTGGAAAATGAGTAGTTTTTTTTAAACACATAGGATTGAAATAACTGGAATCTAGATGTTACATAATGAAATTCAACACCTATCTCACACCATATTAAGAAAATGAGATTGAAATAGATTATAAGCCTTAATGAAAATTCTAAAAGTTAAAAAAACTCGACATAAGAAAACATAAGAAAAAATCTTTTCTGCCTTAAGTTCATCAGAGATTTCCTAGATAGGACACACCCACACACAGACACACACAGACACACACACACACACACACACACACACACCCGTAAATTACAAAAGGAAAATTAATAGGTTGGACTTTACATAATGAAAACATTTGTTTTTTGAATGACACTATTTAAACAGTGAAAATTCATGCTATAGATTGGGAAAAATATTTGCAAAACACTTCTTTTGAAAGACTTGTATCCGGAATACGTAATACAATCTTACAACTCAATAATGAGATAAACATCCCATAAAAAAGCAAAAAGACTTGATATTTCATCAAAGAAAATATACAACTGTCAAATAAGCTCATGAAAAGGGACTGAACATTATTATTATTCATTGTGAAAATGCAAATTAAAACCACAGTAAGATACAGCTATGTACCTATTAACTTGGCTGAAATTAACATGAAAATAAGTATTGGCAAGATTGTAGAACTAATGGGAATCCAGAGCTAATGCAAAACGGTATGGCCATTTTGAAAAACAGTTTGGTAGTGTCTCGTAAAGTTAAATATATATCTGTCATATAAACCAGAAATCCTGTGCCTAGAAAAATAAAATTAAGAACTAAGAGAAATAAGAACATATATCTCTGCAAATATATGTATGCGAACCTAGCAATTTCATCTGTAATAGCTAAAACCTGGAAATATACCAATGTTCATCAATTGATGAACAGATTAACAAACGTAGTACAACCACACAAAGGAATACTATTCAGCAACAAAATCAACAAATTGTTGATACATGCAAAACCATAAATAAATCTAAAAGCATTATGTTCAGTGAAATAAACAAGACACTAAATAATACGTATTATATGATTCCATGTGTATGACTTTCCAGAAAGGGGTTGCCAGGGACAGATGGTGGTAAGAGAGGATTAACTGCAAAGAACCCCTGGGAAACTTTTGTGAGTAAATAGAAATGTTCCATATGCTGATTGTTATGTTGATTATATGAATGCATATATTAATCATAAAACTATACACTAAAAAGGGTGAATTTTATTGTATTTAAATCGTACTTACATTGATGTGTGCTTAACGAAAAATGTATTCGTTTGTAAAAATAGAAATGCAGAGAATTCGGGGAACATAAAGCCAACAGTGGCAGTCTAAGGTTTTGAATCTTCCTGAATCTGCATTTAAATCAACAGAGCAACTAAATATCAAAACTCCAAACCCATGAACAGTATTTACCACAAAACTAGCTGACAAAGTATCAAAACATACATGGGGGTAAGCACAGACCATCAAGGGCCATAAATTCATCAGGCTATTGAATGTGCAGGAGAAAGACAGCAATAACTGGGAGTCTGATGGATTTGAGAAAGGAGATCCAAAGAGCCAGTCATTATTCACTGGAAAGCACAGCATGTAGTGGAAAATATCAATCTCAAATGGCCAACAATAATTCTAGTAAAACTACTGGACTCTAAAAAAAAAAAAAAAAGAAAAAAAAATCAATATTTTTGGTATTTGGACCAAAAATGCATATTTTTTTTAAGGGAAGGAAAATGTGATTTTTATCAGATTTTTTGCTAACAGTCACCTTTATTTTGCCTTCCCTGTAAGAACTGCAACACAAGATAGCCAAACGGTAGATGAATGGGAAAATGTCTATACGAAATTATTCCAGCTACTCAATGAAAACTCTGTGATGAAATTAGAATATCTACATGTTGTAACCGGAGTGAATTAATGGATCTGGGCATTGAGCATTAACAGCTACTAACATTACAGAAAAAGCAAAGACCAGGCATGATATACTTCTTGATTAAAGAACACATCGCCACATATGGCCTTGCCAAAGACATAGGCTGAGTCTGATGGAATCTCTGGATCCAAGGAGTTAATTTGAAGGAAATTCAGAGTGCAAAAGAATGTGTTAAACTACATCGTTAGTATAGTATTATCAAGGTCCAAACTGTGGAAACCTCTCAATGACCCAGGTTATTCAAAAGTTATGTTATAAAGAAAAGAAAGTGATGGAGGAGTAACCTGTAGATGAGAAGAGACTGGAGGCCGGGTGTGGTTGCTCAGGCCTGTATTCCCAGC